CAACAATGGAGAAACTCTATTATACAGCCAGCAAAAACAAGACCTGGAGCTGACTGTGGCTCTGATCATCAGCTTCTGATAGCAAAACTCAAGCTTCAACTGAAGAGAGTAGGAAAAACCACTGGGCTAGTCAGGTATAATCTAAACCAAATGCCTTATGAATACACAGTGGAAGTGAAGAAAAGATTTAAGGAACTAGATTTGGTGGAGAGAGTGCCTGAAGAACTATGGATGGAGGCCCGTAACACTGTACAGGAGGCAGCAACAAAACCCATCCGAAAGAAAAGGAAATGCAAGAAAGTAAAGTGGCTGTCCAACAAGGCCTTACAAACAGCAGAGAAGAGAAGGGAAACAAAATGGAAGGGAGATAGGGAAAGGTACAGAAAATTGAATGCCGACTTCCCAAGAACAGCAAGGAGAGAAAAGAGGGCCTTCTTAAATCAACAGTGCAAAGAATTAGAGAAAAATAATAGAAAGGGAAAAACCAGAGATCTGTTCAAGAAAATTGGAGCTATTAAAGGAACATTTTGTGCAAAAATGGAAATGATAAAGGACAAAAATGGGAGGGACCTCACAGAAGCAGAAGACACCAAGAAGAAGTGGCAAGAATACACAGAGGAATTATACCAGAAAGATCTGGATGTCCCGGACAACCCAGATAGTGTGGCTGCTGACCTAGAGCCAGACATCCTGGAGAGCGAAGTCAAGTGGGCCTTAGAAAGTATAGCTAACAACAAGGCCAGTGGAGGTGATGGCATTCCAGTTGAACTATTTAAAATCTTAAAAGATGATACTGTTAAGGTGCTACACTCAATATGCCAGCAAGTTTGGAAAACTCAACAGTGGCCAGAGGATTGGAAAAGATCACTCTACATCCCAATCCCAAAGAAGGGAAGTGCCAAAGAATGTCCCAACTACCGTACAATTGCTCTCATTTCACACTCTAGCAAGGTTATGCTCAAAATCCTACAAGGTAGACGTCAGCAGTATGTGGACTGAGAACTCCCAGAAGTACAAGCTGGATTTCAAAGGAGCAGAGGAACCCAAGACCAAATTGCTAACATGCACTGGATTATGGAGAAAGCCAGAGAGTTCCAGAAAACATCTACTTCTGCTTCACTGACTACACAAAAGCCTTTGACTGTGTCGACCACAACAAACTATGGCAAGTTCTTAAAGAAATGGGAGTGCCTGACCACCTTATCTGTCTCATGAGAAATCCATTACTGTGGCAGGCAGATATTTCAACCCTTCCCTTTTAGCCCTGTTCCATGTATGTTTCTGCAGAAGACAGGTCTTTCTTGAACAGCACTTGTTCTTAGGCAGGTGTGCACAGAACTGAAGCCTTAGGAGTTTCAGGTCATTTTAAAAAGAGTTACCGTATTTATCACAACGTAGATTCCTATATGGAATGGCAAATCCTTAAAGAAATGGGAGTGCCACCTTATCTACCTCCTGAGAAACCTATACGTGGGACAGGAAGCAAGAGTTAGAACTGGATATGGAACAACTGATTGGTTCAAAATTGGGAAAGGAGTACGACAAGGCTGTATATTGTCTCCTTGCTTATTCAACTTATATGCAGAATACATCATGCAAAAGGCAGGACTGGATGAATCCCAGGCTGGAATTAAGATTGCCGTAAGAAATATCAACAACCTCAGACTGCAAAGAAAACAAACCTATCCATTTTGAAAGAAATCAACCCTGAGTGCTCACTGGAAAGACAGATCCTGAAGCTAAAGCTCAAATACTTTGGCCATCTCATGAGAAGACTCCCTGGAAAAGACCCTGAAGTTGGGAAAGTGAGAAAGCAAGAGGAGAAGGGGATGACAGAGGATGAGGTGGTTGGACAGTGTCACCGAAGCAACCAACATGAATTTGACCCAATTCCCGGAGGCAGTGGAAGACAGGAGGGCCTGGTGTGCTCTGGTCCATGGGGTCATGAAGAGTCAGACACGACTTAACGACTAAATAACAACATCTACTGAAGGATTAGGAATTAGCACTCTAGTTCTACTTCCTCCAGTCGCAGTCTCCTACAAGTAATGTCAGTCTTTAGAAAATTGGGGCAAGATCACAAGCAGTCTGATCTTGCCGACCGCAAGATCATTTACCAGCAAACACATGATGTACTGTGCTCCAGTCTGACCAATCTGTACCAAAGCTGGACATTTTTGGTCCAGCTGTATAGCTACTGCTTTCTTTGTCCGGGTTAGAGGGATTTTCCAATAGAAAGAAGGCTCACTCTAACTGAGATTACTCCCTACAAAACAAACTTTTCTGGTGCACTCAAATGCTTGTCTTTCCTGCCATCCGATCACACCCTTAGTTAGACTCACCCATTCACTAATAAGAGGCTTTACGATTTGAATGCTACTACTTGTTTACAGTTCTTAGACCAATTAAACAAAAACAATTACAGTTTCAACCTTTCTAGCATAAAAACATACAAAATTACCTCTTAGTTTAAAATCCATTTAAAATCTTGCAATTTAAATCCATTTAAAATCCACAATTTAAAACCATTTAGAATCTACACATCTAAAATTTAAACTTTGATTTCTGGAAACTAAGTACCGCCATGCAGAAACTTGCAACGTGATAGGTGATCTTAGGGTCTTTATCTGAGAGAAGAAACAGGAGTCTACTTTCTTCTGTATAACTTGGGTTTTCTTTTTAATCAGTGGAAAAATAATCTGGTTACATGCAATCTCTTAGTGGGGACAGGTAAAAAACATGTGTTGCATAGTTTCTACCACCCCTAGCGAACAGGAGCAAAGCCTTTCTGCATGGCAGGTTCCTATATTTCCCTTTGAGGACGGCAAACGGAAGGGCAGAGTATCTTGCTAGTGTAAAAGCTCTTCTAAATTCTTTCACTTCTAAGAGTGTTAGATAGTCTGCCGGTTCCATGGGTTTCTTAATGTAGGCCCTTAACAGTAGATTCTGTACACTAGCAAAATCAGCTTGGTGTTCTATATCCTCAATTCTTTGTTTGGCTAATTTCCTTGCCTCATTTGGTACGACAGCAGCACTTGTGGAGATAGACTGATTTTCATCAAATGGCTCTGGACAGCCTTTACTCAGTTGGATTGGAAATTATCATAGAAAATCAAGGGCAGGCGGCCTTGTGGGTTGTTGTGTCCCTTTAGCCATGTATATATAGACAGGATACAAACCCAGGCCTCGACTCTTAGGAGACCTGTCTCCAATCCTTTCCTTGCATTTGAGACATATCTGGGGACCTGAAGGTTGGTTCTTAAGAATTTAGATTGTACCCTTTCTTGGGGTGCAAAACATGAACTAGGTGGCCCCAAAAATGAACCATATAGCAGTTGTGCCAGCCTCTTAGCCTTACTGAGTTTAAGAACTGCAGGAAAAAAGAATCCGCCCTGAGAGCGGTGAAACTTTGCTATACTAATTGCGGTCCTTTCTCCTTGATCAGTCGCATACTTACTACAGTGGGGTCTCTACTTAAGAACTTAATCCATTTTGGAATGGTGTTCTTAAGTTGAAACATTCTTAAGTTGAAGCAAAATTTCCCATAGGAATGGACTGAAAACCAATTAATCCGTTCTGGCTGTTTTTTTGTTATGTAGAGATGTGTTCGTACACTGAAGCATTAGTTCCCATAGGAACTAATGCAAAGCTGGTTAATACGTACTCTACCACTAGGGGGAGAATTTTTTTTAACCTAAGATGACCTAAGGTTAAAAAAAGAGCAGGAAAGGTTTTTTTTTCCTGTTCTTATCTTGGATTTCTGTTCTCAAGTAGAAGCAAAATTTAGCAAATGGAGCTGTTCTTAAATTGGATTGTTCTTAAGTAGAGACGTTCTTAAGTAGAGCCCCCACTGTATGTTGAACCCTTGAGCCTGTGGTTTGTAGAATTACCCCTAAGTATTTGAAGTTATTAACTTGCTCAATACGGTGACCTTAATTGACCAAACCCTTGTCTTTGGTTTGCACCCAAAGGCAACTATCCCGGTTTTCTGACAGATTATTGTTAGAAATTCAGTTTCACAATACAGTATAAGGACAGTTTCTGCAAAGCCCTCCTTAGGCCGACAGGAGTTCTAGAGAGGATCACAGTGTCACTGGCGTACAGTAATGTTGATGTAGGGCTATTAGCAAGTCTGGGAGGGGGGAGGTCGGGGGTATTGAGCCAGCTAGGGAAGTTATTTCTATAAAAAAATAAATAAAGCTGGGGCTGATAGACAGCCTTGCCTGACTCCTCCTCTATAAGTTTGGATAGGTTCTGTAAGGTATCCTTGTCTACCGCATCTAACTCTTAGGTATGTTTCTTCGTATAAGACCCTCATAAGACACAGAATTCTTCTGTCTATAGAGGACTTTGTCAGTTTAGCCCAGAGTCGCAGTCTAGATAAGGAGTCAAATGCCGATTTAAAATCAACAAATGCTGCATAAAGGGAGGTTTTACCCCTAGAGGAATATTACTCAATGTGATGTTGAATAACTAGGCATTGATCTATTGTAGATCTTCCTGGCCTAAAACCTGCTTGTTCTGCCACTATGATCTTCTCTTGCTCAAGCCAATCCAAAAATTTATCCAGAAGGGGCCTTGCATAGAGTTTGCTTCTGATATTTAGCAAACTAATTGGCCTGTAATTGGACGGGTCCTCCCTGTTGCCCTTCTTATAAAATGGGACTACAATGGCTGTCTTGCAGGATTTAGGTATATAGCCTGTAATATGCTACTATTTTTTATTATTAATTTTAGGGATTGTTTGGTTTGGCTGCAGAGCCAGAGGTTAGGAGTCTGATTCCCCACTGAGTCTTCTTGACAGGGACTGGACTCGACAATCCACAAGATCCCTTCCAGCTCTGTAGTTCAAAGATTAAGATCATTGAAGTAGTATCCATCAATATATGCAGTACAGGAAAATAACAGAGAAGTCTAAATTATGGACTAACATGTCTAAGGAAAATTGTGGTAACACTGTCTCTTTGTTTCTACAGTTATCTTCAAAGACGCATACCTACCTCTCAGCTGGCTAAAGGTGATGATGAACTTGCTGGTCACAGCTTTCAGCTCATTATTGGCTAGAGTGATGAGATGAATGCCTTCAGAGACGTGCCTCATGACTTTGTAAAGGGCAATGGGGAAGGTCATTAGTTTGCAATCAGCCAAGTCTACAACAAAAGAGGAAAGCAGAGAACAAGTAGAAAAGAGAAAGATAGGTTTTCCACAGAAACCATGTATTATGTTCCAACACATCACATTTTATTTAACTGGATACCTGGGGGCATCTTCTTCCCATGCGCTGCTGTCTAGTTTTCAGTGATAGTGACTCCCTCTTAACATTCCATATCTCTTTTTCATGAACAGAACAGTCTGAAAAACTGCATTCTTTGGAAGCAGGTTCTATTAATTTTGATGGCTAATTCAAGTAAGCATTCTTAAGACACAATGTTATTCTAAGTACGTAGGTTGTGACTGTTCATAAACTGTATTCAAAAAGACTCTTTATCCCCTGCCCCACATATTTTTGATTCCTATGAAGAAGTTCAAAGGTACAGCAGTGGAGATACAATGGGAATGGTTGGGGCTTGCCTCTTTGATTCCGTCTACAATAATATTTCTGCCCTACTGTAAATCCAAACCACACTCTTCTGCAACCCTGGCCTGATCAATAAGCAAAAATGAGCATTTATATGCTAGGGCACTGCAGAGGTAAGAGCACTGGTCTGAGATTTGAGATAACCAGTTTCATCCGTGACACTCACTGGATGACAGGCCACGTCACTCTATCTCAGCCTAAGCTAACTTGCAGTTAACTAAGTTAACTATTGTCAGGAATAAAGTGTGGAGAAAAATCACGTGTAACATTTCAGGTTAACTGGAGGAAAGGCAACAAGTTGCTCTGGGAAGATTTTTTTATCCTGAAAGGTTGGCCATACATCTATTTTTTGGAAAAAAAACACACATAAACTACTAAAACCAGCATTTTTCCTGCTAGGGAATTAGGATCCTTCCTCCCTACCACATTACCGAGGGGGGGGGGGTGTTGTACTAGCCCTGGCCTGATGTAGCTGGGATAAACACATTCTTTCCCAGATAATTATTTGCAAGAAAATATATGCAGGGCAGCAAAACAGTGCCAACTTCTAGAAGAGATTCCAGTAAAGGCCTAAGTTAAGAGGGACACAAACAAGTTTGGGCACAGAGGAAATGCTGACTAAAATCCACTTGTCGCAACTATTCATCCAGTGGTAAGTCATAATTACACCCCAGAAGATGTTTGTCATATTGAGGAGGTATAGTGCCATGTAGAGATGGGGGCATTCATATTTGTATATGAATATCCCTGCACAGGTGGAAATAACGAGGGTCCAGCCCCATGGGGCCGGACTGTCCACTCACAATTTCGCTGCTGCCGCCAGCTCCATGGAGGCTTCTACTGAGCCGTTGACCCCAATCGATTACCCACTCCTGGCAGGAGGTGGGATGACAAGCCTCTCTGCCAGGTCACAGAGTGGCTAACCCATTGCGGAGAATGGCATGACAGGAAGTCCCCGCAGAGCTGGCGGTGGCAGCGAAATCGTGAGTGGACATTTGAATACGAATATCCCCATCGCTGTTGAAATCCAACAGTAAACTGCAACTAGAGTAGGCCCACAGAATCAGTGGAGATTTGGTAAGTCAACTCTTATGTAAGTTCCATTGATTTAATGAGCCTACTCTAGTTTTGGACTCACAGATTTGCACTGGGGCTACACCTCCCCCAATTCATACCAATCTCACCTTATTGTGGTAGCTAAGCAGGGTCAGGCTCATGGTTCCTGCTAAGCTGGGTGCGTGCACAACTCCGCTTCCTACCATGCAGCTCTCTTCCTCCTCCACACAGTGATCGCATTAGGTTCTGGTCACAATGGAACCCAGCGTATGTGTTTGTGTGTGGGGGGCTGAATTATGTGTGCATGCAGGGGCGAAACCGCGTGTGCAAGAGGCGCAGCCCCACCCAGCAGGGCAGAAAATTAGAAGGCATGTTTTCAGTATTAGAAAGTACTATTCAGTATTTGAATATAGGAGGCCACCAGGGAATATCAGCAATCTCCAGATAGTGCCAGAAAAAAAAATCTGCCTGAAAACCTGGGGAAGGACTAGGTCTCTTGGTTCTGTCTTCTCCTCAACGAATTACGCAGCATCTGCTGCCAGGGGTGACAGCCACACTCTACCAAATGTTAACTCTTATAACTGCTTACCAATGTTCTGAGGCAAGTGACCTATGACTGATACACAGAGAGATGTCCAGCCAGCCAGCATCTCCCCAGAAATCTGGAAACATTTTATTCTATTTTTCTGTTTTTGTTGCCAGTAACAAAAAGGTGAGATTCACTTCTTAATCATAGTGAAACTACTCCATCTGCTGGATTTCTAGCCACAGTGAATAAAGAAACTGAAATACAACACTGTAGAGATAACTTGAGCTCAGAAAATGCTCCAGAACAATTTATTATAATAATGAACCATTTCTGAAATGGAAGCCTGCTCATTTCCTCAGATGGGATATTAGTAAACTATTTGTTTTAAAAAATAATACATTTTATCTTACTTCCTGATTTTTCATTTAGGAATAAAACCTACCAAATTCAATACCAAACTTTTTTTTAAAAAGTGGTTATCACTTTCTCCCAAAGTACATCATACACAAGTTTGCGATCATGTCCAGCCCACCATCTGACAAAGTGAGATGGCTACCTTGAAGAACAGATTTTGGGTATTGTGAAAGAACAGAAAATCTTTCTATATCCTACTTCCACTGTAGAAAATTGGTCCATTTAAACATCTGAAGAGCTCAGTTTAAGTGGATGAACCTAACACATGATAATAATTAAAAAATCAAAACCAGAGACAGATGGGTGTAAATAAATAGACTCAAGACAGAACAGATGACTCAAATAGATTCAAACTGAACCAGTAGATGCTTTCCTGTATGTCAAAAGGTCAGGGCAATGTTGAGGGCACTGTCCACCTTAACCACAATTTGACACATGTGATAATCCTATTATTTTATATCTCTTTCACACCTGCACCTCCTAAGCTTTCTAAGTTTCTAATGACTGACAGCTTTGTATTTCTAGTGTGTGAATATTGCAACCATAGAAGGAGAACTGACTGTGTCAGCATTTGCAACTCAGCAAGTCCTGAACAGAATGGAAAAAAACAAATCCACAAAATCAACTCACTGATGTAATTGAAATAGACTTTGAAATATGAGATAACACGTTAGAGAAGCAGCTCTTAAATCACCTTGTGTTCCAAAACATTTTGAGCTGTAGTTCGGCATCTGCTGTGCAAGGAGAGGAAGACATTTTCGTGTTCAACCCCTGACCCATTCAGTAACAGGGATTGTTCAAATGCACATTGGGAGTGATTTTTATCAAACATCTTTGAGAACCACAGCCTCTAAGACTAGACAGTATTGGGAAAGATCCAAATTTGGCAAAGTAACTTTCTCCAAACGATGATTCTCAGAGTCTTCCAGCTGCCACAGTCACTGGTCCTGCTGGCTGGGGTGAGATTCTAGGAGTTGTAGGTTCAAAACAAGTTTCTTCTAAACTCTGGGCAAGAGAGGCTGAGCATCCAATTTAACACAGAGAAGTTTCATATGTTCTGAGGGAAGCCAAAGTGATTAACTTACCCAGAAAATCTGCTCTGTTCTCAACTGTTTCATTCACTTTCCTTGCTACTCTGGCAACAGCTTCACCCATCTTTCTCTCCATGCAGACACGATGAACAATGGGAATATTTTCAGCGCAGCAACTGAAAAAAATAAAAATAAAATAAATTTCATTGCATCAGTACCTCATAAAAAGTTGTGGAAAGCTTATCAAGGAAGGGAGAAAGCTTACTTCAAGACCATAGATAAATTTCTAATAAAATATAACAAACTGAAGAAACTCTGCACTTTATGATGCAAAAGTTGGCACAAAGATTCCTTGTATGGAGGAAAAGCAATATATTGAAATATATTCTCTCTACTAAACTGCTGTATAGTCCAATAAGAAATATTATCTGGGCAGTTCACAAAAACAGAGCAAAAACACAATGATATAAAACATAACAGCCCCAAATTAAACAAACAAGGAAACAAAATTCTGGCTACAAATTAAAACCAACACAAACCAACAGCAGCATTAAGCTATAAAAATAGCATAATATTTTTTTTTGAAAAAAATAACTTTTCCAAGCTGTGTTATGTTCAGATAGGCAGTATATCAGATTGTAGGCTGTATATCAGTCATGGCAAACAAAAAGTGCTCTGTGCCATTGAAGCCATTGTGTCTTCATTGACAAGACTGGATTCAAGGACAATCCAAAACTATAGATCTGAGCCTTTAGAGCAGCCATTCTCAAAGAGGGGGGCATATGACCCCCTGGGGTGCCCTGGCACATTTGAAGTGGGCCACAGATTCATCTGTTCATGTTGTATCCATACACAGCCAAAGGCTTTCCTTGTTTGGCAGGGGACCTGGAACCTGAGAAGAGCTCCTAAAAAGAGCTATGGTCAAAGAAAGGTTGAGTGTGGCTACTCTACAGCAAGAGTGGGAAACTATCTTTGACTAAAGGGCTGGACCACCTCCTGGGACATATCCTTTGGATAATATCAGTGTTAGACACTATAAATCCCAAAACTCCCCTCCTGAGTGAAACCGTGCCCCTCTCCCTGTTCAGCCCCTTTGTCTGAGATGAGACACACAGTGATCACTGCACCTCTTTCTCTGCACAGTAAAAGAGATTAACCTCAAGTTTCGAGGTTTGAAAAGAAGAAAGAGATGTACAGATTCTGTGGGCCAGTGGTTCCCAACCTTGGGCCTCCAGGTTCTTGGACTTGAACTCCCAGAAATCCTGGCCAGCAGAGGTGGTGGTGAAGGCTTCTGGGAGTTGTAATTCAAGCACATCTCAAGGTCCAAGGTTGGGGACCACTGCTGTTGGCCATAACTTGCTCATAGACTCCCCACCTGTTTTAAGGACAGTATAACTCCCTCCAGAACAGGATGAACACAACACATCAGTGTGGTGTAGTTCCTGGCAGGTGGGACAAGAGTTGGAAGACTTGGATACAAATCCCCATTCTGGGCCAGTCACACACTCTCAGACTAATCTGTTGCAGTCACAGCAACAAACAAATAAAAATAACAACAAATGAATAGGGCCTCTATGTTGTCTAGACAGAGACTCAGTATATAAGAGGTGGACAAAGTGGCCCATTGGCTGCATGCAACTCCCCAGAGAACTAACTGCAATGCTAGCCCCCTGCACCTCAAGCCTTCCCAAATAAATAAATATTTTTTAAAAAATAAGAAAACTGTTTGCTGTGGAGGTTCCTTTCCCCCTCAAGGGTGAATATGGGTTAATTTTGTTTTGGACTTGCTCCTGATTCGGGTGGTGTAGAGAGTCTTTTCAAAGAGAAGTCATTTCAGGAAGTTTGAAGACAGGCAAAAATTGGAGAAATTCTTCTGTACAACCACTAGAGGGAGTTTATTCAGTTAAAAAACCGAAACTATTTTGACAAAAAAATATTTTAGGGTATGGAGTGAGTGCTGGAATAGGCCCAGGATAACCCCTCCATGACCTCTGCATGTTTCCCACAACTAATTTATTAGGCTCTCATCCTATCAACTGCATGCAGGCATTGGAACAGGAAATATTTGGAATTAACAAATATTGATGCAGACTTGGCTGCCACGTGAATGTGAGACAGCTGAGATCTCATCTCCTGATACACCTATCCCAATGATTTAATTTAGCTTCCATGTGAAATTTCACAGGATAACATCCAAGGAAGAGAACAGTCATAACTAGATATGGGCTGTTCGTATTCATATCCCTGGGGATACAAATACAAATAGTGGCACCACAGGTGCTACGGAGATCCATTCCCTCCCCACAGAAACAGCTGGTCCACTCACCGTCCGCAGTGCAGGGCTTGGCTCTGTTGTCGTTTTGCAAATTGCGGAAGGAGCCTAGCCAGCTCTTCCCTGCCTCCTCACACAGCCAACCACTCATCAGCTGAGCGGGGAGACTTCTTGTCCTGCCTCTGCCACCACAATGTTTGGCTGCACTGGGAGGTGGGGAAGAGGCAGCCAGACTCCTTCATCCTGGTGTGATGATGATGATGACAACAGAACTGAGTGCCGCAGTGCGAACAGTGAGTGGACCAGCTTGTCCTGGGAGGGAGGGAATAGACCTCCATGGTATCTGTTTAGAGAAATTATTGCTAATCATCAGAAATATGATGTTAAATAACTTCTGGAAAATTTGTCACTACACACACACACACACACACACACACACACACACACACACACACACACACACAGGGAGGGAGGGAGGGGATAAATGTAGGGTCCTGACCCTATCCAGAATAATTATTATCCGTCCATCAGTAATTCCACAGGGCTAACCTAAATGTTAGCCATATCAAGAGCAGACCCACTGAAGTCAATGGTATATAATTAGTTCTGAATAGGTTAACAGTGGATTTATCCCAAAGACTGCTGCACCCACAATCTGCTGGACCACTCAACCTTACAGAAAGCACCACAAAGCCAAACTGAAAGATAGGTACCTTAAAGAACAGGGTCAAGAGATTACTACAGATATTATTTGTGAAACAACAGCAAAAATCAGATATTTTTAAAGAAACAATATATAAAGTTTACCTTAAACATATATCTGAAATTCTAACCCAACATACGGAGAAGTGTAGGCAACCGAAATCAATAGGACTTACCTCTGAGCAAGTATTTTAGATGCAATTCAGACTGACCTGCTTATATTCTGGAGAGAGAACTATTTAAGGCTGCAATTCTATACTTATTTTGCATCAAACGCCACGTTTAAATTATTGAAAAGATTATTAACTTGCTTTTCAATATAAAGCACTTAGGGTGAATAGCATTTACAAACACAGAAGTGAGATGCATAAGGAATTGTTACTGTATCCTTGTCTCCTAATACGGATACTGTACTCCTATTCAGGATTCCAATTAGCCATACAGTACTAAGTCTCCAAGGTATTTTCCACCCTCCACTTGCTTTTCCTTTCCTTTCCAATCAATATTTCAGTTGCATGGGGGGCTTTTTGTGTGCATATGTGTGCACATATGCATTTGTGTGTATTTTTCAGCCTACTTCTGTAAACCTCTGGTTCCCTTGAGCATCATGTTTCTCATTTGCTCTTACTGATAGTGCCAATCATATCAGCACTTGTTGCCTTAAGTTCCCTGTTAGAGGGAATCATAATGAAACTGTAAAATCAACGGAAATAGTACAGTAATTATTACAGAACACAAGGAAGCATTCCAGAAAAGAAAACTGTCAACACCTGCAGCTTGGAAGCTAATAAAACAGGTGCAAGTCCAATGCCCCTGTGGACTGCATTCCATAATCAAATTGCCAAAAAGGTCTTATCTCTACTTGTCATCTGCTGATCTTAATACTAGCAGAACATCTGATTCCAAATAAACATACACAGGATAAAACTGTAAGTGACATAATATTCTCTTGAACAAAACAATTATAAACTACTAACTTTCAGGGTAAGATATTTAGGCACAAGCTCTTTCCACTAATAAGAATCTGTCGGGACATTTTGGAAACCATTCATTCATTCATAGGGTCACCGTAAGTCAGAGGTGACTTGACAGCACGTAACAACCACCATGACAATTTCACTTTAAAATGTATTTGCACAGCTACCAGCAGGTAAATTTAAAATGAAATAAGAGACACCGCCTAGCTATTATTTTAAAGTGCTTAAAAATAAAATTTAAGTCACACCTTCAAGTGTATTATGCAATGTGCTGGCTGGCTTGCCAGTATATGGAATTTTATGACACTAGAAGATTGCAAACTACTTCTCTTGTTTTCAATTGCCAATAACTTATCTTGCCAATAACTAGATGTTCCCCAGCCTCAAAACAATGGCACCAGCAGCATCAACACACTACCTCTTTTTATACTATTAACAATTTATGAGGTGAAAAGAGAGATCAAAGAAGAATGTGTACCTTATATACAGTGGTGCCTCGACTTACGACCATAATCCGTTCCAGAAGATGGGCGTAACTCGAAATGGTCAAAGTCAAAGCACCATTTCCCATAGCAATGCATTGGACCATGATTAATCCATTTCAGAAGAGAGAAAAACCAAAAATAAAATAAAATTAAAATAAAACACTGCAAGCCCCATAGGAATGTGCCGGGGCTGAAAAACAAACACACCAAAACACACAAAAAAAAAACACTGCAAGCCCCATAGGAAAGCATTGGGACTGGGAAACCAATGCAAGCCCCGTCGGAATGTGTAGGGGCCGAAAACAAACTTACCAAAACCAAAAAAACACAGCCAGCCCCATCAGAACGCGATGGGGCTGGGAAAAAAACACACACCAACATCACAACACAGAAACATAACCCCCCAAACCCACCCTGCAAAACAAAGTAAATGTACTTAGTCAAGAGCAGAAAGCAGCTTCAGGCAGTCCGAAGCCTTCTCCAACACACTAACTCTAACCGTTGGGGCGAAAGACCTACAAAGAAGCGTCTACCAACGATTAGCAAATTTGAATTCCCCGCCTTTTTTCTGTGCCTTTTTCCAGTTGCAACTCAAAGCTCCGGCCGCAAGTCAAAGCAAAATTTTGCAACTAGAACTGGTTGCAACTCGAAATGGTCGTATGTCGGGACATTCGTAAGTTGAGGCACCACTGTATATGAAGTGAAGTTAGAAGTGGACCTTCATGTTGCAGAATGCAATTAAAGATGAATTTACAATAGGTTGAAAACTGCTAGAAAGGATTGTTATTCTTTTCTTGGGATTTTGTAAACTGAAGACAGAATTAAAAGACAATGTTGGTACAAGACAGGCCTCTCAGGGAGGACATTCCATAATTCAAGGAGGGGAATCCTGAGAAGCCTCTTTCTGAGTCTTTCTGAGTCTTACAGGGTCAAAGATTACTATAAATGATCAGAATCTGGAGAAATCTTGTTTGTAAGCTAGTAATACTTAGCAGACTCTGCCCAAGTACAAATCCAGTCCAATGTTTATTGCCTGCCATTATCATTCTACAATTCTAAGAATATTCCTCTGGTGTTTAAACTAGTATTTATTCCCACATTATCTTTGCTAAAAGGTTTCTCTAACCTCTACAAATACAGCTCAGCACCTTAGTCCTATATTTAGCTAACAAAGTAACAAAACTAAAATGCTAGTCCACTGGCAGAAAACCAGTCTGTTGCCTTGAGGTACTCTGCCAAAGAACAAGTAACGTTAAACTTGTCTGGGGGTGCCTCCAGAGATCGACTGCTGCCAGTGCTATCAAGCAAAACGTAGTGTTAACTCTAGAAGAAAGAAGATGGAATATGCAGTGGGAATACACAAGAAGGATGCAAACAGAAGTCATCTAAACCACTCCTTGAAATATTTTGAATGCAGCAATGTGGAGGCAAGTGTGCCGTCCCCCGACATCAAGACCACCCAAAGAGGAGGAAAACATTAATGAGAAAGAGATAGGAGGTATCACTAATCTGATAGAGTGGTCCTGACCCGACCAGATAGGCGGGATATAAATAAATTAAATAAAATAACTAAATAACTAAATAGATAAATAAACAAACAAACAGAGGAGGAGAAAAAGAACATAGAGATTTGTCTGGTAGAAGAGAGGGAAGGAAAGAAAGGGGAGGAGTTAAAACTCTCCATGTGAGAAGAGGATATAAAGGAGGAGGAGGAGGAAAGGGTTTTTGGAGGGAGATTAGAGTGGGAGAAAGGGGAGAAAAAGGAACCCTTAATCGTGGATAAAAAGGAACAAAAACATGAGCAAGCACGGGATTTGTTGAGAATCTTCCCAAACCTTAAGATAGGGGGAGGTCTGCTACCTAATCCGGAAACCGTGAAAGAAGGGGAGACTGTATATGAAACTTTAGAATGGATAGTAATAGTATTTCCACGATGGCAAAGTTGAGGGAAGAAAGTGATACGCCCTGGACCAGTTTACAATTCTCCGCCAAAGGAAGGGGACTGGGCACGTCACCCTTGCTGTGGAACGGTGTGTGCAATGCAGAGTGCACCCCTGAGAAAGATTACCGACTGCAAGCAATTCGGCCCGGCACAGCAGTGAGTGGAACACCTGTAGAAGGAAAGCCTACATGGACTAGTTACAGCCAGTTGCCTGATTTGCCATGTTACAACCCCGTTGGTCTGATGTTAGAGACACCATGCGTTAATAAAGTTGAGGAAGAAAACTTTATGAAACAGTCTCACTCGCTTCTTCCCGCCAAAATAGAGGAACTGTCAGTACTTTCAAAAGAACCCAATCACAAACAAGTTGACTGAATTTTAAAACTGTTTGAAAAATTCCCAAAGTATGTTTTGAATTAACCTAAGATAACCAAAAGCTGCCAATAACAATTGTGCTGGTAACTTATGCAGACCACCATTACAATATATTATGGCCAGTAAACAATGCATTCAATATATGTTTACACTAATTCCCAAAGTATGTTTTGAATTAACCTAATATAACCAAAAGCTGTATATGTTTACACCGCCAGCTTATTGATATGACTTGGAAGTTCACATATTCTTGATTTTAATGAGTTCATTCTCGTATGTTCTGGATTTATGTGTGCCATCAAGTTGAGTCTGACTTATGGAGACTGTTTTCCAGGGTTTTCTAGGGAGAGAATACACAAAAGTGGTTTACTATTTCCTTCTTCTGGGGGCATCTTGGGGCTGTGCAGCTTGCCCAAGGCCACACAGGCCGGCTCTTCTTTCAGGAAGCATGGTGGGGAATTGAATTCTCAGCCTCTAAGCTTTGCAGCCAGATATCTAAACCACTGGTTCTTAACCTTGGGTTACTCAGGAGTTTTGGACTGCAACTCCCAGAAGCCTTCACCACCAGCTGTCCTGACTGGGGTTTCTGGGAGTTGCAGTTCAAAAGCATCCAAGTGACAAAGGTTAAGAACCACTGATCTAAACCACTGAGCTATCCAGCCAGCTATGTTAAGGAGTGCACCCTTAGGTTCCGACAATAAATTCAAAAGTTACAGTTTTGAGTGTGCCACAGTTTTTCTTCTATACCAAATGGCAGTAACTGGCAGAAAGCACACTGCAACATCTCAAGCAAGAGGGGGGGAAATCACCTTGTCCTCTCCACAGTCAAAGCTAGATTTCTCACACCACTTAAAAAACTCATTTTGTTTTAGACATACCACTCACACAAGCAATAAAGCTCTGCCTTTTCCTCTTGTTCCTTTACCTGATTTATAGCTATTCTACACAGAGGTAGTTCGGCAATCCAAGCAGAAAAGCCTGAACCCAACAATTTTCCCTTCCCAGGCCATATAGCCCTTCCCAGACCATTTCTCCTTCTGATGTGAAATTTCCTGCCAAACATCTTTTCCTCTTGTTCCTTTACCTGATTTATAGCTATTCTACACAGAGGTGGTTCAGCAATCCAAGCAGGAGAAAAGCCTCAACCCAAAGCCTCAATTTTCCCAGGCCATATAGCCCTTCCCAGACCATTTCTTTCTGATGTGAAATTTCCTGCCAAACATCTGTGAACAAGTCACTGCACACAAACCAAAACAGAAGTACACACACACACACATTATTGTATTATTGCAATAATTACCACTAACCAAATAAACTGACCTGTTCACCTTTCTAGGTAAGAAGCACCAGGGGCTAATACAAGTGTGTGTGTCTAGTATGTAAGGCATGTGCACATATATATGCATAAACGTGTGTGTCTTTATGTCAGTGAGAAAAAAAGCATAATGAAGTACAATTAAGGACAGCCTTCATATTCAAAATATATTTCAAAGCCACTGTCAAGATAAGCAAGCGTTAGTGCTAAGCCCTAACTGGCACAACCACACGGCCAGTGCAACCTACTTTTCTACTCAGAAAAAGAAGTAGAATATAACACAACTTTGGTATAATGATTTCAAAGCAATGTAGTTTCCTGAGTTATCTGTTTCACAAGGGCGCCCAAACAACCCAATCTGTTGGTGACCAAGTACAGTAGTAGTATTTTATAACCATTCTGCCTTGTTCAAATTTTACACCATTCCCAATCAATTCATGAAGTAAGCCACCTTGGGTCTTTTTAAGGAGAAAGATAGGGTAAAAATATTATTTTAAAAAGGTGTGCTGCTTATATTCTGCCCCATAGCGCTTCAAGCAGTCTCTGGGCAGTTTACAAGTTAATTATGCAGGCTACACATTGCCCCCCCCCCAGCAAGCTGGGTACTCATTTTACTGACCTCAGAAGGACAGAAGGCTGAGTCAACCTTGAGCCCGCTACCTGGGATTGAATCCCAGGTCGTGAGCACAATTTTGGCTGCAGTACAGCGGTTTAACCACTGCGCCATGAGGCAGTGAATTTAGAAATTTATTCTTTTTTTTTAAGGAGTCAACACCACCAGTCTACATGAATTGCAACGAATTCTTCTTCCTGGAGCTAACGGGTGACGACACGAACTCAAAATAATGTTGGCGCTCCTACAGTATTCTTTCCCCCTTTTCCCCCCACAATATTTCCTTCATAAATAACAACGGGTTCCTAGGTGAGGATGAATCTAAAAGGGAAAGGGGTGCCCACTTTTAAGCTGCACCCCCCCCAAAATCTGTTTATTGAGGCGGGGCACCTCACTGAACCCAGCAGGGGCTTGCTGCCCAAGAAAGCCCACAGGATCGCTCCGTCCACCTCCTCTATGAGACCAAGAGACCAAGGCGCACGCCAAGGCGGCGGCCGCCCTCCCCCCTGCCTTCCCGCCCGCCGTCCATGACAGACGCGCCGGGCTTCCCATCGCTACCGGAAGTTCAAGCTCCGCGAGCGCCGTCGTCCCCTCAAGGTTAGAAGCCTTCCGCGCGCCCTTGCTTTTCCCCCCCCACCCCGCTCTAAAGCGGCTCGTGAGCGCGCCTTTTGCCCAACCGGACTCCTCCCTGCGCGCGAGCGCAAGCTGCGGCTTCCCGACTGTGCAAAAGGGCTTGCTTCCCCGCTCTTACCGACAAGCTACGGCGGGCTGCTCTCTTGCGCGGCGCTGGTGAAGCTTCTCACGCCCAGAGGCCAGGCCCTGGGTGCTGGGTTTCCCCAAGCCATGGTGAAAAGCAGCAACAGCTGCCTCTCTTCCTTCTCACCCAGTTGCCAGGACCGGGGGTGGTGAGTGGTGGGGGATGGTGGTTAAGTGAGGGGAAGTGGAGAAAATCCAGCCGGACGGAAAAACAGCCCCAGAGCGAGAGCCAATCAGTGGCAGAGCCGAGCCAAGGGAGGGAGACCAACGAGGGGGGATGGCGGTGGCTCCCGCACCCGCTGGGAAGGCGCCCTCCTCCGTCGTCGGGGAAGCGGACCTTCGCGGACGCGACCTGCTCGGGATGGGGGAGAAGAGGCTGGCCGGCTGCCTCCTGCGAAGGGCAGAGGCTGTGGCGTTCCGCTCCTTTGCCTTTTTGGAAAGAAAGGACACGGTAGTTCTCTCTGCAACTAGAAAGTCGGCGCTGTAAGGAGAAAGCTACCGATCTGATGATGCGCTGCTTTGCGTTACTTGCAGGCAGTGCGCGGGCGCGCTTTTGGAAGGGTAGCAGCTGCGTTGGCCCCTTCCGGCAACAACGGACAAAATTACAACAAAATGGGCATCAAAAATACTCTTGTCTCCTTTGAGACGAAGAGATCTGTTTCAGCGGGAGTGTGCGTCCGCTACGATTGGACTGTTTGTAACCCACGAAAGCTCGTAAATGAAATAAAGAGGAAAAGGGAGAAGTAACTACTTTGGCAACTGAGATACACGTGAAGTCTTAAAGGTGCAACAGTACTTCGGATTTTGTGTGTATGCACGCGTCTAGGAGGGAGAACCGTTCGAACATGGCACCGTCTTTTTGCAGTTCTATCCTGTATAGTAAATCCACCCCTCTGCAACCTGAATTACTACAGCCCACTACCACCACAAGACTTCTGTAACTTCCTTCGCCAGAGCACTAGGGACCATTTCCTAGAACCGGTAGAAGGTTTCAATGAGTGCAGAGTATCATTCCAGAAGAAGAAATATCCATGTTAACTCTTATGAGTAGAGATTCCTGCTTTCCAACAGGCTTGGAAATGATCTGTTGCAGATCAATAAAGGGGCCTTAAGAACTACCAAGTTTTATTTGACGTTAGTTTTCATGGAGTTCATCCCTCTACATCAAATGTAATTCTCTCAATATTCTTAGAGTAACAAATCGGTAGACTATGTTGTTCCTAATATTGCCATTTCTTGTAATACGGTGTTGAGATCTGCAGCTCGTTATATTTTATAAAATTCTGTGGCATTGTTCCCAATAACTATGGGAACCACTGAAATGTGTTTCATCCACAAGCGTGTTATTTCTATTGCCATAACTGGCGTCCTTTGTGAAGTTCTCTCTCCCTCTCCCTCTTTGAGTTTTAATAATAAGTTGCTAATTTAACTCATCTCTGTATGTCGGAAAACTTTTAATAAAAAGAATGTGGTGGGGAGAGAGAGAAGGGAAGCTATGACACGCCTAGAGCTGCAACTGGCACCAATATTCTGATTACAGTATTTCCATGTCTTATCAAAACCTTCTTAATTAAGGGTGCAATGACAGTGAGGGAAATGTGAATTCATTCACTCTGCAATTGCACTGGAGAATTTTAAGGCTGTTTGTGGCCAAACAGGGAAACAGGGAGAAAGCCTTCTTATTGCACCTCTACTGAAGTGCTCACAGATAGTGTAGTTTAAAGGAACTGCCTTTAGAAATTTTCCTTACTCAGTTACTTCATATCTTTAAAAAAAAACCTACAGAAACCTTCTTGGAGTGTTGTCCACAGAAGTTGGTTTTAAAGTTTTGCCATGAAGGAGAGGTTACTTACCTGTAACTTTTGTTCTTCGTAGACCTTATCAGTTTCAACTTGAGGTGGTTGATGGACTGAGAGGTCTAGAGCCTTGGCTGTTCGCTGGATCAAGTTGGAATACGAGAAGTGGGACACTGGTGAGGTAGGATTCACATCATCAGAGTCTGGTGTATTGGCATTAGGTGGGGGGACTCCCGAGGAGAATCCGATGAATTGGAATCATATTGCTCAGGTTCTGAAGATGGAGATATCTCAGAAGGGGAAAGATCCCTGTGGTGTATGTCGTGTAGAATGGGCCAAAGTGGCCGGCAATCTTTTTCGTTTGCATGCGGTACAGTGTTCTGTACCCGAGACATCTGTCCTGAATGATGAGTCTGACTCCTCAGAGGGGGAGCGGTGTAGTGGTGCTTCGCGGGTTTCTTGGGTTCAATCGGTATCACAGAAGTCTTAGCCTTACGCTTTGGAGAGGACACGGTATCAGTAGTGTTCACACTGATGATACCGGGGTTACAGTCCTGAGTCTTGCCTCGGGTGTTCTTGAGTTTGCTCACTTTGGATCTCTTCACAGCCGGCGGTACCGACCTAGAACCCTTCTTGTGGGATCAAGTGAGGACCGCACCCACTTATGACCTCTGGTATCAGTGGTTTTGGGGTCTTTTTATGGCAGGAGACACAGCTCTTGAAGGAGACTTTAGGGGCCGTAAAAAGCGGGAAAAGAGAAAAACGGGGGATCGCTAAATGTCTCTCTCTTTTTAAAACAGGTGGAAGAAAAAGGAAAATACAAACGGATGCCGATTGTGAAGAAAGCTTCTGATTAGAAAGCTTCTCGATTAGAAGCTTCCAAAGTCCTGTGTGACAGAGCTCCAGAGAGAGGAGACCTACCACTGCAGCGAAAAAATGGAACTGAGGTAACTGGTAGGACGGGCGGGCCACATGGGCTCCATGGGGGCGGTCCTAGCGGTTTTCTAGTTCCAGAATATTCCAAGTTCTCTGCGCATGCACAGACTTAACCCATTAGTGTGCATTCACAGAGGCCACGAAGAGAGGCTTTGCTAGAGAATGTGTGCTGGCACTGCTGTGTATCTATATACATATGCACGCATGAACAGCCTGTCATCCCTCACAGGACAAGAAGCAAGTCAAAAGGTGTGAGGGTTTGGGTTTTGAATGATTGATCCTTGTCCTGGTTTGGATTCTTCATACACAGACTCAGGTTCCAAGTGTAAAGCATTAGCATTTATTGTGGGAGCTTCAATAAAACTACAGTATATTAAATTTGTTATGTGTCTCTTTCTTTCCTAACAAGGTAAAGAAAGTCCAAACATATATTCTTGAAGGCTTTCATGGCCAGGATCCAATGGCTGAACAGAACACAGAGAGAGTTCTAGCTCCTGTCCTCTGAAGATGCCAGCTACAAAGACTGGCGAAACGTTAGGAAGAAAAACCATAACACTAAGAAAAATGTGGTCAAACAGCCTGAAAAACCCACAACAACCAAAGCCCAAACACTTGAACAGGAAACAATTGCTCAAAACTAGTGCCCAAAGTCTCAGTTGGTTAAACTGTGTCCCGGTCTCTCAGTGCTGGCCCTACTGACATGGACAACAGGGTCATGGTTGCTTCTCCCAGGGATTCACCCTGTCTCAATTATTCTCCCAGCTCATAGAACTCCCGGATGTCCGAGACTCTTTCCTCTCTACCACTTGCTGTGCTCTCCATCTAGCTCTTGCTCTGTTCTCCACAGCAGCTTCCCCTAGTCTGCATCTCGACTCATGGGCTTCTTCCCCCCCCCCCAATGAGGCATTTTGAGGGACTACTTCTCTCCTCCTCTCAGCTGCTCCCATTTCTTTGTGCAGGTGTTCTCCAGCCAAATCCATTCCCAACCTGAGAGAAGGATCTTCAACCTTTAGCCTTAGGTTTCTCCCGTGTCTATTAAACCGCTCCTTGGGACTCCATTCTTTTATATCCTTTCCCACCAACTTTTCCTTTCTCCTTCTCCCTTGATGGTTTCTCTTCTCCCAGTTCCGTTCCTGCCTTTTCTAACTCTTCCCACAGGGCTACTACTTACCTCAGACATCTCCTCCCCAGTGACCTCCCTAGAGGAATCTCTGGGGATTGTCTCCTTGGGTCCAAAGTCTCTGCTCCTCTGTTTCTTTCCCGTTTCTCTGCTGGAATGGACAGCACTTGGGCAAGAAGTGGCTCCATCTTGCCCCTCTGCTCACAGAAGGTGCTTCAGCAAAGCACCAATTTGTGGGTGTGTAGGTATGCAGCTCATTGTCCCTTTTCTGCATCCATTCAAGCAATCACATGCTTGAACCAATGTGAAAAGATTTGTTATTTAAGAAACAGAAGCTCCACAGCACAGAAGATAAACTACATATTTACAGAAGTGTGTGTTGGGAGGGGACGCTGAGTTGGTTCATAAATCCCTTTGTTTTGTTTCATCAATAGGGAAACAAAGTGAATCACCCTTCCTTAAACCCACAGAATTTCCCACATTTTCTTTATTAATGTCACTTATAAAATCACCTTAAAGCATTTTACTTGTTCAGTTCTGTTGGATCTTTAGTGTTCTTTTTTTGGGGGGGGTCATGCCGGCATCTGGAAGAGAAAAGGCTATTTTTTTAAAAAAAGTTAAAATAAAGTATAAGGAAAATGAGAAGTATTCTTCCACGAAGTCTAGTCTGATTTTTGTAAAGCACACAAAATTACCTCATTGAATTCCAGTATGTACTCTGAATCATAAAAATGTCTGTAAATGACATGATCATGCAAAAACGACAACTAATAAACGTGTCTACAGTATTACAATTCAAGAGAGATTACTGATGTTTTTAACAAAAGACAATATTACATTTTCCAGTAGCTGGCTTGAAAATATCAAAAGGGTAATGAAAACATTTTTGTAGTTTGTTCGGGGGATCAGAATATGGGGGGATCAGGAAAAAATATTGTGAGCCACAGGAAGAGAGCTTAATAGGATAGTCATAAAGGAGAATCAATCAAGAAGCTATTGGGCTACAAAAAATATTTTTGGGGAGGTTGGGCTAAGGAGGCCACTGGACCAGAAAAAGTAACATGCAGAAGTGTATTCTTTCTGGTTCTATCCACTTAAACAAGAAAAGAAACTGTATAGGGAAACAGAACTATTTAGACCACTCAGCCTAGAAAAAGATCCTATGGGAAGGTGTATATGAGGAAGGCACTGGGGAAGGAAAAAACATTCTGAGGGACTGCTTGGGAATTGTCAAGCCAGGAAACAAGACCATCTAGAAAGGTTTTGCTTTTTTAAAAAAGGCTCATAGGCCATGAAAAGATACCAGGAGGCAACTTGGCTGGGGAAAAAAGATCACCCAGGAAGATACAGTTAACGATGCCACTTTGATGGGGAATTGTCAAGCCAGGAAACAAGACCATCTAGAAAGGTTTTTCTTTTTTTTTTTTTTTAAAGACTGATAGGTCATGAAAAGATACCAGGGGGCAACTTGGCTGGGGAAAAAAGATCACCCAGGAAAATACAGTTAACAATGCCACTTTGATGTGATATATCTGAAGAGACTGCCGAGGAAGAAAAAGAGCCTATTTGTAGAAACTGATCTAAGGAGGGTGCAGGGCCAGAAAAATAAGAACCTCTGCAGAAGCTGTCCTGAAATGGCCACCGCACCAGGAAAGAGATCCTATGGATAGGTAAGACTGGAAAGGCCAGTGAGCCAGAAAAACAGTCTGTCTAGAAAATGTGATCTGAGGAGGAATCTGGGGCAAGAAAAAGGACCCTACTTCTTTAAGAAGGCCATCACGTCAAGAAAAGAACAAGCCTGAAGGCTATTTGTAGAAACTGATCTAAGGAGGGTGCAGGGCCAGAAAAATAAGAACCTCTGCAGAAGCTGTCCTGAAATGGCCACCGCACCAGGAAAGAGATCCTATGGATAGGTAAGACTGGAAAGGCCAGTGGGCCAGAAAAACAGTCTGTCTAGAAAATATGATCTGAGGAGGATTCTGGGGCAAGAAAAAGGACCCTACTGATAGACTTCTTTAAGAAGGCCATCACATCAAGAAAAGAACAAGCCTGAAGAAACTGGTATGCAATGGCTGCCAGGCCAGAAAAAGACAACTTCTGGAGTGAACAGTTTGAGAATGCTACTGGGTCATGAAAAGAGAATATAAGTTGAGAGTAAAATAAGAACATGGAGCAAGTTTAAAATTCTCTGAGGAGATCTATCTGAAGAAGTGAGATTATGTGGCAATTTTTTATACATTTAAACATGGCACCAAAACGAGACAGCAATTGCCAATTGTCACACTTAGTAATGACGTCTGTTTGATACTCAGATCTTTTCCACTGAAGCTTTATACTGTAAAACGTGACAATAGTTAAAGAGGAAAGAGACTCTTGAAGCATTCCTTTGTATAGGCCGCTGGGCCAGAAAGACAGACCATATAAGGAGATTGAAATGAGGAGACCACAAGGTCAGAAAGAGATGATCAGAGAAGGCTGCAGAGCTTACAGGACAAGAAGAGACAATGGGAGTTTTTCAGAAGTCCACAGAGCCAAGAAAAGAGATCCTCTATACAAGAAGAGACAATGGGAGTTTTTCAGAAGGCCACAGAGCCAAGAAAAGAGATCCTCTAGAACAGTGGTCCCCAACCTTGGGCCTCTAAATGTTCTTGGACTACAACTCCCAGAGGTCTTCACCACCACTTCTGATGGCCAGGATTTCTGGGAGTTGAAGTCCAGGAATATCTGGAGGCCCAAGGTTGGGGACTGCTGCTCTAGAAAGTCCACAGACAGGATGCTCCTGGGTGAGAAGAGATCCTCATGAGGCAGTTGTTTGCGAAGGCTACTAGGCTAGAGAGAGAGAGTACATATGGAGGTTAAATTAGGAGACCACAGAGCCAGGAAAAGAGCATTATCTAGAGAGGCTGATGAGAGGCCACTGGGCCACAGAAAGAGAATTTCTAAAAAGGTTGGCTGGAAACAGCCACAACCAGATTCCCACATTTGGCCATAACAATCAACTAGCCTGACGCCGAGAGAGGCCCGGAAGGAAAAAACAAGAAACCGGGCCTTCTTGGTGGTGGCTCCTCGCCTCTGGAACAACCTGCCTCCAGAGATTTGCGCGGCTCCCTCGCTGGGTATTTTTAAGAATCAACTGAAAACATGGATGTTTAGGCAGGCCTTCCCCCCAGTTAATCCCTAACCTCTCCCTTGCTTTCTTTATTATGTTTTCCCTTTTCCATCTTATAGAACTTTTAATTGTGTACAAATTCCTATTAAATTATATATTGGTTTTGTATTTTGTGTTTTGTGTTGTAAGCCGCCTAGAGTGGTCAATATGACCAGATAGGCGGGGTATAAATGGAATAAATAAATAAATAAATAAACAAATAAACAAACAAACAAACAATCCATATACACTACAGTAATGTTCACTCGCTTACAAAAGCAGCAGGAGCAAAGCAGAAGCAAACAGACTGCTTGAAGCAGTAAACCATGGATTCCCAGTCAACCACAGCAAGCTCTGGTTGAGCAATATGGATCACACTGGCATCAGGAGCCCATATATCCTAGCCACTGCTCCATGACAGCAGCACTACATTCAAGGCACTATTATCAGCAACAGCTCATGGTGTTCTACACTGTTAGATATTCAGTCACACAAGTACCCTCTCATGGACATAATCCAAAAGGCAATTATTGGGTAACATCTCTTTCAGGATCTAAAAGAATTCTGCACAAGCACAACTTGTAAAAAGCAACGACAAAGAAATTACAGAGATAAAAATCTGATCGTATGGTTATTTAGAAAGAAATCTGACTTATTTCAGAGACTTTCACTGATGCAAATAAACATTGGAACGTAGTCTTACTATATAACCTTAGTCATGTTTACTCTGCAGGAAGTCCCACTATACTGAGTGAGATATACTCCCTAGGCTTGCAGATATAAAGCTCTTCTTTTTGGACACATGTCATAACCTAATGTTTACCTATTGCTGAGATGCTAAATTAGGAGTTGGAGACATTTTATCCTACAGGTATTGTAGCCTACAGGTGCCACATTTCCTTGCTTTTGGCCATGTGGTGCATGGCTTTTAGGAACTGGAGTTCAAAATTTAGAAGGTAAAACACACTCTAATTTTTATTTAACTCTTTGTTACATTTGAAGAAAGCTTAGCAGTGGCAGAAATCACTGCTCTGTTAGATTCCATCCATACGTAGTTATGATGTATTCAAACCCATGTTGTAATCAAAGGGACCAATAATGTCTGATTCTATATGGGGTACCAGCTACAGTCCCCGTATTCTCTGGTAAAACTGAAACTCTCTTCTTGACTATCTTGCTAAAGGTCAAGAGCATAATATATATCCCACACATTTCAATCTTGGTTTGTCAAAGTTACCGTGGTGTGGTGATTAAGTACGTAGGAAAATAAGGCTGAATTGTGTGCCAAAAGAAACATTAGTGCCTAGGGGCCATACAGGAAAAACGAATAAATAAATAGCAGATTTTTCCTTCTATTTAGGCAGCTTACTTACCTGGTGGTTAAGTTTTATTGAACACAGTGGGGCTTAAGAGAGCAGAGGAGATATTAACTGCTCAGTTAGAATCGAGTTCAAAACCTGGTGTTATAAAAGTCAAAACGTTATTGTTTATGGTCATAGGCCTTAACAATATGCAATGTATGACATAAAAAGAAAATCCAGGTTTTAAAAACATACATTTTAGAACTGCTTATTTTAAAATGTGCCCTTCTTTGAGCATCTCTAACTAAACTATGGACCATTAAATAAAATGGTATTATGATCCTTGAGAAAACCAGATCTCAGCTTCTTGGCTGCCAATGCAAATCGTGCTGCAGCATATGTAATGAATGGCTGATTGTCAATAAGCTTAATACTAATTCCTTGGGTGTTCAACTAGGGAACGACTGGATAATAAGTAACAAAAATCTTTCCCCAGAGTCCTTATACAGTAGAGGGGGCAGACCAATAAATAGTGGATTATGTTTTGTATCTGGTTGCAACCAAATACACATTTGTGTTCTGTAACTAGAACTCTTTTGCATCTCCCTTTGAGATACGTAGAGAGCATCTGCTGAAATCGAAGTTCAGTGAAGGCTCTGTGAAGCTGTGGGAGACATAATAACGTGGCCTTTTGTGATTGATCTGAAGCTGAGGATAACTAACTAGAAAACTGGGACCCAAAAATTGCGGCTGTCTTGAGAAGCATCAAAGGCAAAGATCCAGTTCCTCAACATGTTAGCACTGAGGCAGATAAACTTATCTATAGTAAAACAATAGACCCTTAGCTTATTGTGGCCCTGCTTCACCCATCCTCCAGTCTGCAATTGCTCTAGCCAGCAGCACTTGGTCAACAATCAGTCCTGCAGCAGACCATTCAGTCTGAGCCAATACTGTATCTAAGATAGATCAAGTCAATTCTGGCAGCAATTGAAGGAAGATCCAGCTCTGCTCTAAGGGGAGCTGGAGAGATCCTAGGATGGAGTCCCAATACCTGTCTCATTGATTTGTTCTGTGTGATTTCCAATTTGGATTTGGCTCCCTCTCCCCATATTTCTGCCCCACAGAGCATTTGAGCCAAATCTGTGTGCTTTGGCTCCCTCTGGTGGCCAGTCCCAACAATACATGGTGAAAACACATACAGTATTTCTGGATCCCCCCCTTTTACCATGCTATATAACACATTTATTATTATCTGTTGTTTTTAGCTTCCATGAGGGGTTATGGAACCACAGTGGTGCTATTGTATCTCGTTTCAATCATCAATCCAAATATAAGACTGCAGCCCATAAATCAGAAGAAGATTGACTTCAGAGAGGAGCTATGAATGACAGGGATATGGACAGTAAAAATGTTTTGTTTTGGCTTTTTTTGGGGGGGAGGGAGTCTCTTTTTTCATTTTCTTTCATTTTCTTTCATTTTCATTTTCTTTCTCTTTTTTCATTTTCTTTCATTCTATTTTTTGTGCACTGACCCTTTAGTTCAAGATAAAGGAGAAAAGCCTCTATCAGGATATTCATTTCAGGTTTCCCAATTCATATTTGCTAGCATTGCAACAGTCCTAAGGCAGTGATGGCAAACTTTTTTGAGCCCAAGTGCTCAAACCACAACACAAAACCAACCATGACCATCCCAAAGAGTCCCACTCCTCCCACTGCACAACCTCCAGTGCCTGCCCAGCACACTCCCCACTCCGCCTCCGGGTGCAATCCTTAAAGGTGCAGGCAGCAGGAGCCAGGTGTTGCCATGTCTGGTGTCTGGGCATGCGTGTTTGTGACAACAGCAGCCATTGCTATCTTGGCTCTCCCTCCCTTCCCAAAATCCAGGATCAGAGGACAGGTATGTATTTCTCGGTGGCAACTTATGGCTTGCATGCCCACAGAGAGGGCTCTGTGTGCCAGCTGTGGCACGCATACCACAGGTTCACCATCGCTGTCCTAAGGTATGTAAATGCTACCTCAAAAGAGCAGAAGCAAAACAACAGAGAACCAACCTGCTCCAGAAGCAGACACGAGAGAGAAAATCAGCAGCAGCCCTACAGAGTCATCCTCACAGTACAGTGGCTTATTTATTTATTTATTTGTTTATTTATTTATTTATTTATTTTGGCATAGACACAGACTCTCTCCCATACACCCCACAGAAACAACTCCCCAATCCCCCGCCAAAACAAAGCCCTATCTTGGCCAAATTTAACATCGCGATTTTCAAAAATCAAACAGGGAAAGCATCCTCAACACACACAAAAGGTTAGAAATACTGTACCAAAAACAAACAGAAAACCCCACATATAATCCCCTCTCCCAAAAAGAAAGAAAAGCAAGCAAGTAAAAAAATGCAAAACATACCAAAGATTCCCCTTACCAAGAATATGGGAAGATTGCTTTCCCACACCACTTGATGCCCTCTGTTCTGTTACTGTGGGAAGAGGCAAGGGGAAATCCCCAAACAAACCAGGGGGAAATATATAGAAAAATATTCTCAAAGAGGAAGGCTGGAAAAGGCAGGCTGCCTGGCAGCAGCACAAATACAAAGAAATGGGAGTGGGCAAAAAAAAAAGCAAAAAGAGAGAAGGGATTCAAGACCATACCACAAGCAGGAGTTCAGCACACAGTAATCCCACAAGGAAAACAAAAACAAAGAGCATTTCTCACTAGATTTCAAGCCATTTTATAGATTCCAAATTCCTATTTGCCTCCGCTTGTTCTGACTGGCTGCTGACAACAACCCTCCTAACATTATTGGATGAAAAATTTCTCAAACAATTTGACATATAATGGACACCAAAGTGTACGCAAAAGAAGGAACACAAAAGAAAGACAAACTTTTGCAATCCCTCTTTCATAAAAACAAACCATGTTTTAGAGGCTTTTCCCCTGCAGTTGCTGAAAGAACACACATTACACAGAAGAGAGCCTCTTTTGTGTTTGGGGTCTTTTGTTTAAACAGAAAAGGCCCATACCTAAGGAAGAAATTAGAAAAGACCCTTCAGTGGAAGGATATGTCACTACAGACCAAAACAAAGTTCATGGATGCTATAGTAATCTCAGTCACAACAGATGTGAAAACCAGATAGTGAAGAAAGCCAACAGGAAAAACCATTTGAAACCTGGAAAGCTTTATGGATACCATGTACCACTAGAAACCTGGACAAGTGGATGCAAGATGAAATCAAACTTCGACTTTCTCCAGGGAGCAAAAGTAACAAAACTGAGGCTGTCATGCATGGAGCACATCAAGAGGAGACAGCAGAAGAAGAAAAGACAATAGTGCTAGGAGAAGTTGAAGGCAGTGGGGAAAGTAAGACCAAATAGGAGGTGGATCAACTCAAAAAAAGGAATTTGTGGCCTTGAGCTCGCAAGATCTAAGCAAGGATGTGATTGATCAAACTTTTTGGAAGTCACTTATAAGACAAGGACGGAGAATGCACAACCTCCAGGTATTGTCAGACTGCAGCTCATAGAATCATAGAATAATTAAGTTGGAATAGCTTATAAGATCATTGTCCAACTCCCTGCTCAGCACAGGAATCCAGCTCCTATCATTCCTCGTAACTGTACTGGTTATGCTGCTTAGGGCTAGATATGAGAGGCAAGCCAACATCTGGAGGGCCACAAACTCCTCAGGCCTGCAATAAATGGAGATCTTGGCAATATACGTTGAATACCTAAAATAGATGCATTTGTGAGTGGCTAAAAGCATACTACTTTGTTTACTGTAAAAATGGCTAACAATGAAACCTTATGCAATTTTTTTGGGGGGGGGGAGTTTGGAACTCCAAGAGGCAACAAAAGACAGGAGCGCCTGGCGTGCTTTGGTCCATGGGGTCATGAAGAGTCAGACACGATTTATCGACTAAACAACAAAATGGAATTTATCCCCCAAAGATTCCATGGAAGACAATAAAGGAAAAACCTAGGTGGAGCTAATTTTTAAATGCTTTTCTTTTTTTTGCTGTCATGCTTTGCAGACAAAAACTTATGTATATTTACAATTTACAATCACCAAGAAGGCCTACATAATAAGCCCAGCTTTTTCTTTTGCCTCACAGCCCCACAGCCTGGGAAAGAATGGCCCCTTTTGAATTTCAAGTTAACTTGTCTCCTAAGCATCATGCTCTTATAGGCTGACCCATTCAGAATTTAACCCCATGGAGTGCTCTGTGTTTGTATTTTACTGTACAGTACTATCTTTCAGGTTTATAGTGCTGCAGACACTGTAACAATCTAGTTACAGAAGCATCACTGCTGTTTTCAGAAGTAAATGTGCCCGGGATTGAATTTATGCTTACCTGGGTGCTGCTCGAAGCCCAGGACCAGAGGAGAAGGTGACAATATTTCAAATTTGAGCTAGATGGAAGTCAATCTTAACTCCCGGGGGTGGAAGTCAAAAGAAACAAGTACAGCACCCTGAAGATTAACACATTTAATTTCAGCGTTGATTCCTCCGATACAGGTTCCTTTTGTTTGTTTGACTGATAACCAGAGGATGGATCTCTTCAGCGCGCAGGCAGCCCCGTCAAAAGGTGTCTAACGGGAGAGCCGTGTTGACCTGCTGCGGGAAAAAAAAACACCGAACAATCAAAACCCCACGGCAGCTTCAAGATTTATCGAGAGATATCACCGTGTGTGAGAGTTTTGTGTCGAAACCCACACACGTGCGCGTGTGCCCTCCCCCGGCAAAGCGGGCCGGGGCGCACGTGCTCGACGCGGAGCCACCTCCGGTCTCTTAAATTGGGAGTCGATCCCTCCCTCTCGGAGAACCCCCCCCCCGCCGCGCACACACACACACACACAAAAGGGCAAAGCTTTGCTGCCTTCACGTTCCCGCCAAGGGAGCCCCGCTCAGCTCTCGCCGGCCCGCGTTGTGTCTTCAGACGTAATGCCCTCCAAATCCGACGGGGCTGAACGTCCAAGTAATAAAAAGAGTCTCCCACACCTCGGCCTCCAGCCGCCCACGCGCCCCAGCGCCCCCTTGACCGGCCCGGGCAGGGCCAGGGCCAG